GGTGACCTCTCCTCTGTCAAGGTGAGTCCCCACAAGCCTTGAAGGAGTCAATAAGTTCAGACATGGCCTCTTGCCAAACATATGCCCATCTAGTCGGTGGCCTCATGAAGATCTGCGACTGCCCCCACCATCTCCCCATCAATGAGTGTGTAAGATGTCCAGTCTGCGCAGGTGAGTTGGTGGCATAGCCCCTGACTCAGCTCCCTGGCAAAAACATGCATTCAATGAAGCATCCCGATGTACGGCAGTAGCCCGGGATCCGGTCGGGGGCGTTTGCTGGGAACGGTATCGGAGCCGGAGGTAGTACCCATCAAGTCTGACATGTCCGAACGCCTACCCTCATCTTAAAAATGTGAGCGAGAGCATGTTCGGCAGAGCGTCTGATGGCTGGGTCGGTCCCCTCTGGGAATGCCTGTGGGTCAGCAAGAAAGGAGTCGATACCCACAGCGAAGGCCGGACTATAGAGTAAATTCCTGGTACTGGCCGGGAAGTGGCATGCCTTGAATGCGAATGACGCTTCCTGCTTCAAGACCGAGGGTCACAGTGGAGACCACCCGCTCCATCTGCATTTGGTTTACCCAGCCTGCAAGGGACGCAATTTGTCCTGACAGGCCCTCAACCAAAGCCCTCATCTCAGAGGCAAACCAGGTGCCATGCGAGAACAGGTCCACGGAGGGATCCGCAACGAGCCCCATAGGAGTAAAAACCTCCAGCGGCACAGCCTCACCATTGCCGGTATGATCGAACAAACCGTTGCCTGAAACAACAGACTGCAAAGATGCCCTCCGATCAGCAGGGGGGGACAGAGAAAACTCGGGACCTCCATTGTCGACCCTCTCACTCAACACCACGGTACTAGAAGCACTGGTAGACGAGTGGGAGGACTTTCTGCTCATGCAAACACACTGCTCACTCACACCAATTTTACCGGATGCGCGACTGCTACGAACTCCAGCGACGTGGTCAGTCTCAGTTACTTGCACGCAGCTCTGGTACATATCCCAGGCCTCGGAACCCCAGTTGTGACAAATATTTTCTCGACAAAACCCTGAACCCCGTACACAGTCTAAACACATATAGCATTTTGAATGTGGGTTCCAAGCTGGTAATTCCTTACTGCAACTGCTGCATAACCGCCTCGATGTTTGAGGTGATAAAACTGGTGGAGAGGAGCCTCTGGCACATTGGTAAAAATGAACAAAACATGCATGAGGGAAGCGAGTTACAGTTGAAAGCTGACACAAAGAGAACTAACGACGTGGTCAAATCTGCGTCGGGAAGTTTTTATCCTTTGTTGTAAATATATACACACAAAAAGGGGCATCACAGGGATAAAAAATAAGAAAGACTTTTCCTACCAGCCACAGTGTCGGCTGCCACGGATGTGGCAGCAAGCCAGAGTGAAAACCCAGACAGGAATAGGATCATCGATCAACACGTTGCAGGGAGAGAAAAAACAGAGTGATTAGGAGGCCACTATGTCTGCGCCTCATAGCCTCGGTCACTTGGTCCGTGACATGAGGGAAAATCTTGAGGTCATGGGGCTTCCCCTGACCTAGATTTATTTCTCCGTCATTGGCTGAATCGCAGATTAATGCCTACAGTTCAAAATAGTCATTTTGACTGATTGGAGTCTATGGTGGGTAATTGAATGTAGTGAATCTAGAGCCTTTTTCGTGAGCTTCCAAAAAGCATGTACTTAGCTGTTCAGTCAATTTTTTCCAGAGCCTTTGTCTTGCACCAGAAGGGGCGTGACGTTGTGGGACGAACCAATCACCACAGCGTGTCTCAACGAGTGTCAATCAAAACGATAGCCACGAGGCAAACTTTTCCATTACGTCACAAATACAGGTTGCCATAATAAAAATGCATGGGCTTGTAATATCACGTAATAACAAGGTATATACAGAAAACTACATATACAAAACCCTGTGTCACACCTCCCTGATGAACACAAAACTCGCACTATCAACAGGTAGCATTGACACTGTTTTAGCAACCGAGTAACTCGATGCTGACACAACACTGACATCTCTGATTGCAAATACCCCAATAGAGGTACAGCCTGTTCCATGTCATCAACTTACAGGACACTTGAATTATTACTTAAAGAGTTTTTGAAATAATTGTGATTAATGTTGCAGCTTTTTCTCAACAGATCGATAAACATTACAAGCTTAGTTATTATTTTTAGTTTGTTTTTCTTTTCAGAGCTTAATAAGTGGTTCTACCACCATGTGTGATTATTGTGTTTACGCCCTCTTCGCTTCACACTATTCTACACATACTCAGTTCACTTCATTGTATCTTTGTTTCTGTCTAATAAGGCCACACCGACTTGATTGTATGGATGACATCCACGCGCGCATTAGTTTTCGCCTTTTCTCCAAACAAAAACAAAAAAAAATCTTCGATGACGAACTTGCCAACTCATATTGTCACAAAGCGCCGGCTTGTCGTAAAACTTTTTGGACTATCTAATCCAACATGGCGACCACGCCACCAAAATACGTGAGCATAACAGTTCACAGGAAAAACTGAGGGATTGTTGTAGACTGGAGCAAGCAAGGACATTTCTGTATCATTGCAATGTTTTGTTAGTTATTGTCATAAAGTAGTGATATGTACATTCCACCTTGACTTGTACTGAAAATGATGTCCATGTTGTACCTTGCATGCTGTGTTTTTGACTGAAGGTACTTCATCATGACTACATGTACTAGAACTTGTCTGAAATGGTTATACCTGTGACAGTAATACAGTACGAGATGTGTATATCAACATGTGCCTCCTACAAATAAAGACTTCTTGTTGTTTTTTGATACATTGTGTTCTGTGGTTCAATTCGTAATAGCAGCTCCGTAGTCCTGTGGTTTTAGCAGGATTTTTTTTTTTGGCAGGATTTTTTTTTTTCGCCCTCTTGCATTAGTTTTGGGGTCTCCAGAGGATGTCATCCATAAAATTAAATCAGTGTGGCCTAAACAGAGTTAGTAGTCCGAACATTGTATACAGCAGGTCTGTGGTCTTTATTGGTGCTATACTTTGTAACTTCTATTGCCTACAAATGCTATGGTCTATATTGTCCACATATATCAAGTTTTGTGATATCTGTATTTCTAGCCTTGGAATTTGCCAAAATATTATGGCAAATGCGTTAATAATTTCTAATATATTCTCTATATTACGTTTCACGCACATAGAACATGGATGTGTTATAGCACCCTTTACAACAGTCAAGTTTTTTAACGCTGTTTTGGAGTTGACAAGGTTCCAATGAAAACGAGCACCATACTGTCACCATACTGAAAACAATATAATTTAACATTATAACTTTTAGTTCATTCACCCTATATCTTGAAAATTGTACTCGCTAATCACACCAAAGTTGACATTTCATATTGATTGTGAAAATGATCAGATAAAAACTGTTTGAGTCCCACACAAGAAGACAATTTCAAGTGAAATATCTTGAAAAATGAACAGCAATTTAACTTTGCCGAGATCCAAAACTGGTTATTCTAATACACTGTTATTGTAACCATACTACAATTTATATCTTATATAATCTGTTTATTCAGTACTGCTGTTCACATTGCTCATCTCTATGTTTAAATGCATAATATACGCAATACATACATTTCTACAAGTTTCAGCTCAGGTAACACGAGTATAAGCCCATTCTTTTTGTTTTAGACATTTTAGCAAGTTGAGGGCATATCAGTGTTGTCAATGTGGTTAGAAATAAAGATATTAAAATATACATGTAAAAAATGTATTTCAACTATGATTGGCCTCGCTGTTTTCATTACTCACAATGAACCCAATGTTGCTCTACTGGAGTAATCCACATCTCCGAGTGTTTGGAAGCGGGTAGCTTTTGGAAAAAAAAAAAAAATTTCCAAATAATTACAGTGACCATGGCATGGGGTGTAAACAGGTGAACTATGTATAAACAAGATCAGCAGACAGCCACAAAGATGTTAAATCATCTTTCACATTCTGAATTTCATATTACCAGTTTTTCATAGAAAATGTTGCTGTTCACATAGCATGAAAGAAATGCCATCATCAATATTCAGAAATTTTCAAGAAATTACATCAGTATGGTATGGTTGGTTGATAACAGACTTGACCTGTCAGGTCAGACGAGTTTGTATATGATCGAGAACATTGTTTTCCCACAAACCCTAATAAATTTTACACTGTAAATGGTATGTAAGTAATATTATACGAAAATGTGGATTTCTTTATTGTAAAAAGTGTTGTAGAAATCACTCATATCATTTCATTTTCCCCAAAGAGGCGTAATATTCCTCCTAATATTCCTCCTGGCACATGGTGAACAATGGCTAATTTTTCAATATTTTTACGATATTAAACAAAAAATTCTTCAACTTTTCTGAGGTGGTTCTCGGGTATACCCACCATTTACTTTCCCATGTGGAGGCCCGAGCTTATGACTGGATATAAACTGTAAAATAATTCTAGCATAATACAGTAAAGGTAGATACAAAAAAAAATTTGAATTAACTGATTGAGATTTTACTCATCTTGAGTAACACTAATATCAGTAATAATTTTTACCTAATGAATATAACTTCATAGAGAACAATCAATTTTGCATATAAGTTTTTGGAGAAGTTTAAAAACTATCAATTTCACAGAAACCCACTAGTCCCGAGCGGAGCTACATCACAGAATGTTCTACTCGGTATGTTGCTAAGACGTGCACCACTGCATCATATATTTCTATGGGTGCTGTTGAACACCGATCAAAGAGCCGGTGAAAACAGCACAGCAACAACTATGGGAAAATCCTGAAGAACCAAATTTATATACGTAGTACATGTAGGGTAATCTTGTACAGTACAGTTTTATTTACAGAGTTCTTCACCAGTTATGGTTGCTAGGTGGTGAAAATGCCGAATGTTCGCTCCTGAGAATGGATGACAATTATGCAGGTAGAGACTGTGGTTAAATACAAGATTTTAATTTCTCAGTTATTGTATTTTAGAACCAGCATTTTCCCTTGCAGCATTGTACAGTCTGTAAAAATCAGTGAAATCTACATAGGCATCAATACGTCCATCTTCATCAGGCTGGTTCGTACCCGTCTGTGGCGGCTGTAATCTCTGAAATAAGAACCGTTCACCATCATCACTGTTCTGAGTATCACTGCTACTCGTCTGTGTGTTGCTACGGCTTCTGTGTGGTGATGACTCGTCCAGTGGGGTGGGAGGTGTCGCGTTTGTTCCCCATGGCAACACACCTCTGGTTGGTGTTGTGCTTTCAGGACTTGAAATGTTAGTTTCAATGTGCAACGGTTGCATGTCCAAAGATGTGTGGCTTTTACTGCTGTTGAGAGGGGTGCTGGATTGCATGTTCGGCATTGGAATGACCAGACTCGTTAATGTCCCACCAGTCGTGTACGGGACAGCCACAGGATTATACTGGCCACCTTGCGTTGGACTCTGCATCCCAAGCGGCATATTAAAGTTCCGTACAATCAGAGTGATGTCATCACGTCGTTGACAATTTTTCGAATTTTCATAATCGCTCATATACGTATCATGGTGAAGTCTTACAACCTTATCAACAATTGCTTGAGCGACGCCATTCAATGTGGACTGTACAGCAAATTCCGTCGCCACCATGTTCGCAATGTCATAATTGACATTTTTGGCATCCGTGGCTTCTTCAAGAGACTTGTAGAGTCCATTGGTGAAAAGTAGCAGAAAACGGCATGATTCGTCAATAGGTAGACCCCCTATTATTTCAGGATCCCCAATGACTGGTTCACTGTGGGCAACACTGCAAGGAATCAATAAAACAGAAACATATATCAGTGTATTTGAATTTACATTAACTTTTGTCATTTTCTCCAATACTTTCCCCAAAAATTGTAACAAAATGAATTAGAAATGATAGAAAATATTTTACATTTTGGCAGAGAAATGAGAGCATTCATTGACAGGCTCAATTATTGAGGGCGCACTCACAGAAGGCATAGATCCAGTTTTGTGAGTTGAATACAGTCACAAAGAGACAGATTGACTTCAGGGAGAGAGGGGAGAAAACATGTTTTGAAGCTTGAATATAATGTAAAAATACTTTATTTTAACTGGAAGTAATTTTCGCTGAAAAGGCTTTCTAGGTCTTTTGCATGGAATTTATTTTCACTGATTTTTGACATGTTTAATGTAAAATATAGGAATAAAGGTATATTCGCTGGAATTTACTTTCACTAAATCATTCCTTCAGCAAAAATCAATTCCAAATGAACCATTCGTTCAGCGAAAATAGCGAAAAATAATTCCAAGTGAAAATAAAGTATTCTTAGTACAGAAACAGGAAAATCATATAGGCTGATGATTTCATAATATCTCCGACTAGACGCAATACACATATCATGTAGAAGTCTTGATAATTAATTTCTACTTACCTAAGAATGTCAAAGTCTTTATAGCCACCTTTCACACTATAGTCTCCAATGCTGCGAGTAGTTTCATGACTTCCTAGTTTCCTGCCTTCTTGTCGTATTTTCTCAGTGTCAAGTCCAAGCTGCGATAATCTCAGCAACTCGTCTTCATTGTCAATGTTGTGATCAACACTCAGCTGTTGAACTATGAAGTGTCCTTCTTGGCCGGCTTTTACAAGTAAAGCTCTACTGTCACCTGAAAATAAAAACAAAGACCATATTTTTGGTTTGTTAGTGAATGAATCCTGGCCAGTAGATTTAGCCTTTCAACTGAGCCTGTGGCACACTCACCAAGGGTAGGAGGTTTAATCCATTTAAACTTGTGTTTCATTGACCATGAATCTAATGCAATGAAAGTAGGAAGTTTGGAAATTTTGACCATGGAAGTTTCAGCCACCATTTGCCAACCTGAAAATTTCGGCCACACACGTGTCTTATATCTGCTGTAATATATATGTTTGTATACCGGTATTTAATTTTATTTTACAACATATTTATATTTATTTACCAATAACTTGCACACTGCAAGTATGGCGTACATGTACTTATTTACTAATAAATATCTACTATTTGTAAAGCTAAATAATTAGAACTAAAATAATGTACATTGTTGTATGTGTGTGTCCGAAATTTCCAGGGTGGCAAATGGTGGCCGAAATATTTGTCTACAAATTGTGAAGAAAAACATCATGGTGGGAATAGTTTTTCATCAAGAGGTTTTTGAAGATCTTCCCACAGTTCCTAATAATTCGACTCGATGAATTCTGATGGTGAGTGCATATTTCTTTCCCTAATCGGCATATGGTGAAAGACAATAGATGTTTGAATAGATGTTCTAGGAGCCGAGTACCCTGGGTGTCATATGTGTACGATAGTTTTTATTACTTGTTTGGCAGAACATAAATGTTATTTCCACAATGTCTGTAAACTTACCAACATTAGCGACATACAATTTGTTATTAACAATCAACGTAACAATGGCTGTAGTACCACCACTGATTTCTGTCTCTAAATGTTGTAACTTGGTAACTGCTTCCGGATACTTCTGACAGAATTCATAATCACTGATTCCCTGAATGAAACAAAATAAAATTCATTAAGATAAACAGTTTAGATGTTATCATGTCATTTGATATTTTAGTTTGAGTGCACCATTTTGTTCACCCCACAGACTATTGATAGGTTTCAGTGTCATGTGATATTTTTGTCTGAGTACATCATCAACTCCACCATTCGTTTTCATTCCCAAAGACTACATTTGTAGGTTTCAGTGTCATGTGATACTTATGTCTGAGTATATCATCAACTCCACCATTTTGTTCATGCCATGCCAGGCTATATTAACACATTTATGAATTTTTAAATATTTATATTCAAAAATGTATTAGTAGGATGTCACATGATTTTTAAATGATTTTCTAGAAGCAATAGATCAAAAGCCATCATTCATGAACATGTAGCTCATTTGTATACAACCAACTTCGAACAAGCCTACAAGTTGCTGATGAAATCAAACAAAATGTCAGTAGTACCAAAAACCAAAAAATCTTTCTTGTCAACATTTTTGGTGCAATATTTTGAATATTTTTATGTATTTCTTGGATAATTTTGTACCAAAGGGACATAAGTTTCTATTGGCTACATGTCTAGATAAAAAAAATACATTTTAATATATTTATAATATATTTTGTGAAAGGTAAAAGTTGACTTTAGCATTCTAAATGAATTTCATCAACAGACTGGAGACAGGTGATACACAAGTGAAAATAAACAAGAAATTGAAGTAATAACGATAAACATTCAGCAGAAAACTATTGTGACTTTGAAAGTATTATTAACTGTACAAAATTCCAATTTCATAGTACAACACTACTGTTACTGAAAGTCTGATGTTTAAACTAACCTCCGGTATCATCAACTTTAAATTTGTCTTCTCTGCCAATGCCTCGTCTATTGATTGAAAGAACCCCTTCTCAACAGAATTGAATGCCTGCTGTAAGATTCTCTTGATCACGCCATCATCTGTCTCATTGTTCAGTTGCCCTAGCAACAACTCAGCTGGCATCCTCTGAGAGGCAAAGTGAGAAACTCTGCCACCATCATGTCCATCAAAGACACCATACAAGTAGACATCATCTTCAGCTCTACATGTGAAGTAAATAAGAAGTGAATTAAAAGACCAACCCTCATTGGTCAATCAAGATTAATACCTAACGCTTTAGCCAATTAGAAGAGCTAGACCTTGTTTGGCAATAGATTTTGACAACCACACATCATGTAGAATGAAAGATATATGTAAACAAGCTATGCATGGCACAGTCCGTGTTAGTTATCAAATTTAAGATACATGTATATAGTTTTGTTTATAGTAATATAGTTGGGACATAAACATGTCAGAGATATGGATCCAGATTCAGCTTGATTATGATTTTTGATTGACATTCAGTCATCTTGTTTCTGATTGTCAAACAAGTACTTGTCCATTTCGAGAGATATTGCTCTGGAACAGCATTAATTAAAACAAAATGGCCGGCAGTCAGCCTTGTACAGAAGGTCAGAACGTCTGATTGGACCACCTAATTTGAACACTACAACATATATGTACTTGATAGCCCCACAAGGATTGTTAGCTCCAGGAAATACAAGTTTTGATAATGAGGTATGAAAATAATAATGCACAAAAAAATGTTCTCCTCTCTAAAACGTTTTGTGCCTCACCTGAAATGAAAACAGTGATCTTCAAATTCATGCTCTTCAAGACGTCCACCGTCTTCACGGTAAATCTGATTGGTTGAAAACCCAACACCGGATAGACGACAAACTGGAAGATCATCGGTCCAACTCAACGATTGACTCTGGAAATAAGAATACGAAGAACTAACGAGTAAGACCAATGTTTGAATTAATGCAATGTAAAGCTCTAATTTTGTGTAGAATAAATATTCCGTCAAGAGCAAATAAGAATAAGGTTTTATAACTTAGATGAAGCCAAGGACTTATAAGATAAGGATATGCGATGAAGATCTCATGAGAACTGAAGAAGAGTTGTGCGAATAGCGAGACGATCACACAATGGCAAGACAAACAAACAAATGAGTCTGTGAAAGAAAGGGATATTCACCTTTGTATTACAAATTTTTGCGTTTAAGATGTTTCACAATCCCAAAATCAATACGATCGTAACAATGAACTTGAACCTTATCTGCATATTTAGTCAAAAATACAGATATTAATTATTTAGGCCGGCCTACATATTTAAGTTTGTTTTCACACACATAATTTTGGTACATGTAAGTTCTGTTTTATTTTCCAATGTAAAATCATCTTGTGAAAACCCCTTGAGATTTTTTATTGCTTCCTGGTGCTGAAGCAAACAGAACTATATATAGTTCTGTTTATGAACATATGGGCAAAGCAACTATGTTAAAATTGCTTTAAAACATGTTTTATTGGGAGAAAACTGAATGTTTTGAAGCACTAAATAATTTAATTGTAGCATTTAAGGTAGAGATGCAGTTTATTTGGCTTGCTTTTTAATTGAGTAATTAGACAATGAAGATGGTATTATATATCCAACATGTTATATATTTTCTGAAAGCTTATTATACAAACTTTGTAAAACTTGTCTTTATTTTAAATATCCAGAATGCGTTTTTGATTTTGGGTCAAAAATATGCTTTTTTGGACAAAAGTGGTTTAAAAAAAATTAGCTTAAAAACTGCAAGCCCGTTTGTGGGTAAAATTACATCACTGGATACCTTGGTATACTACTAATTCAAATGCGTCCACTCATCTCTCTAACGGCTTTCAAAGTCGCACAGCATGAC